ATATAGATTTTGTAAGCATTTGAGTGATGTCAGAGATAATCATTCGACTAATGTTGCCAGACATTTTAATTCCATGCATGTGGGCTATTGTACAGTGATTGGTGTTCAGGTAATAGAAAAAGACCCCCATTCGGGTAGGTGATGTTTTCTGTCTCCTATGCAGACAAGAAGTTTTTTAGATTTTTCATTTGCAGACCGCAAATCCTGCAAGAGTTTGAATGGGATGTCCCACATTTTTATGATTATTTTTTTTTGTCATCTCCTTGCCTCCTTTATGAGATGCTTTTCGTGTGGTTATGATTTTTCTTGTGTATGGACATACACATTTTGATTTATTTCTTTTATTTCAATTTATTTTGTTTACATTTTCTATATAGATGTTTTAACACCAATATTGATTTGAGTTTAGCTGTCATACATATGAATTTTAAGATCACCAATTGGAATCAGCTGGTTATCAACCATTTAAGCTGGTTGCCAACAGGTGAAAAATTAGTAATGGTTAAGCATTTTTGTGTGAAACTGTTCTGTGTCCATTCATGAGAACTGTGATTGCTGTTTTATTTATCTTTTGAAGATTCCAATAAATAACATTTTATTCACTACATCGTTGAAGTGCGACCAGCCTGCTTCCTAGTTTCTACAAGTGTCTACAATCACAGATCAGGCCCGAACCAATTGATGTTTGGGGGGGGCTGAGTTCATTCACTCACCTGGAGCGGTCTCTTTTACATTGTTCACTTCACTGGCTTCTGTGATTAAATACCAGCAAAAGAAAGCTCTATTTGTATGAAAAAAACATGACTGCACAATTGTCATTCAAAGTGCAACAACGCTGACAGCTGAAAATTGTCCGGGACAGGAAGGGCGTGAAAGTGCCTGGTATTGAAGTAGTTAAAATACTAAAATTGTGACTGACAAAAAAAAAAATACTCCAATGTGCATTGGATCTTTCCGCCAGAAACAGAAAAATAAAGCTTACAAAAATGTTAGTTTTGAGGCCTAACTATTCTCGCTTATGTGCGTTTACAGGCGTACAGCATTTTGAAGCATAATTCAGTAAAGTCATTCTGTTGACCAGAATATCCATTTATTTATGCATGTTTATGTAGATTTATGTGTAAAAAGTGCAAATGCATTTCTCTGGGAATGTGAGTTTGGGGTTTTTTTTTACGCCTCTGTGCTCTCAGTACACAAATGCAGATTAAGGTGCTCGTTCACACTATGGTGCAGAGACATCAGTTTTTCTGCACGCGTTCTGCAAGAACACAACAAAATCAATTGTTCTCTATGTGCCCTGTTCGCACCACAACACTAGTATATGCGTGCAGGATTTTTCTGCGCAGGAATTTGCAACATGTATAAAACTCATTGAAACGTGCATGAAAACTGATGTAACCTGATGTCTCTGCAAGTGAAATCTGCGCGTCAGTTTTCATGCATATATGATGTGAATGAGTCTTTAAACTACTGCATGTGCATGGGTACATTAGCTAACATGCATCTGTGTTCAGAAGTGTAAAGAAAAAAGCCAGACGCCGCCTCTGAAAGTTGTGTTTTTCAAGTCTGTGTGCATAAGATGAAATCCACCCTTTAAAATTGCATCATTTGTTATGCATGCATTTCAGGCGGAGGTAGAGGAAGTATAGAATAAATCAGTTACGCATACACATATTCCATTGTATAATCATTTCCACAGAGACTGTATAACTAAAGTAGATGTGCTGAGAAACAAGGATCATCATTAGCACCATTACAGTATCTTAAAACAAAAGACATTTTATGATGGTTTATAGTAAAAATGAATATAAAAAAACTCTAAGCACATTTGTATTTTCCCTGTAAAAGAGTCTAGGGTAAGAAGGTCACTTTACAGTGACAGATGGAACGAAGCTAGGGAGGAGAAACAAGTGGTGGAGACAGATGGGCACATGGAGGGAGTGCATATCCTTTTACACACTATCCTTAGGACTTAATGGCAGCCAAAAAACAACTTGTACCATAAAGCACCCAGCAACATGTCACAGAACGCAAAACGTTTCAGATGCCAGTGGCTAACTAGCTTCATTATTAGACTTGGATTGCAATATGGTGCTAAATCTAAAATCAGAAACATGTACATTTGGTTTTATCTTTAAAAGCTGTACAGACCGAAAGGTTTTTTTAGAGTTGGATAAAAGTTAGTTGACCCAATTTACTAAGGGGCCCTTGTAGCATGCTGGCAAAGGACCGGCATTGTGGTATGTGTTTACACGCACTATAAAGTGTTAGATTTCATGTGCTAATGTGCATTACGTTAACCGCTTCTGCGCAGCCCTATAGCAGAGAAATACTGCTACAGGGCAGCAGGGTGCACAAAATCATGTATATATACAGTACGTGATTTTGTAGTTCTGGGTAGGGGGCGCAAGCGCGCTCTACCAGCACCGCCATTTGCGGCCTTGGCTATCAATCACCGGGTCCCGGCAATCTCTGAGGATTTCCAACGGGGGAGAGACCTGTATGCAAACAATACAGATCTCTCCCGTGTCAGCTCCTGCACACTGCTTTGCAGAGCCATACAAAGCAGTGTGCTTACAGTGAAACACACACACAGCCCACATTGTAAAACAGCACACAGTTAACCCTTTGATCGCCCCACATGTTAACCCCTTCCTGCCCAGTGCCATTAGTACAGCGTCAGTGCTTTTTATTAGAACTGATCACCATATTGGTGTCACTGGGGATGTCACTGACACCAAGTCAGTACCCCCCAGTGCCAGAATGCCTGCTGCAGTCCCACTGTAAGTCGCTGATCACTGCCATTACTAGTAAAAAAAAAAATGAAAAATGAAAAATGTCAGTATATATGCCGCCATTTGTAAACGCTATAACTTTAAGCTCTATTTGGGGGGAGTAAAGGACGTAAATGTCATTTGGGTGCAGTGTTGCATGACCACGCAATTGTCAAAGTAACACAGCGCTGTATCGCAAAAAATGGCCTGGTCAGGAGGGGGGGGGGGGGAGGTAAATCCTCTGGCTGGCAAGTGGTTAAGGTTGCCCATCCAATGAGACAAAGCTGGACCTGCACTTTTTTATTAACTGTGGGTCTGAGGGCACCTACAATACTGTGTCTTTAAATGCCATTTCTCTGTACAATATGACAATGCATTTTTCTTCATGTTACTGCAACGTGAAGAGGAGAATAGGCATACTTAAGGGGATACTGCACTGGGTACCGCCATTTGGAGGGCGCATTTGCCTACCAGCAAAAGCCACTTTGGGAATCGGCGGCTGGGACCCGGTGACTGACATGCCAAGGAGCCAATAGTGGCGCGGGTGGGGAGCATGTGCACATCCTACCAGGGGCGGACTGACAACTCATGGGGCCCCCGGGCAATAGGGGATCATGGGGCCCCTGTGTCCTTGCCCACACTCAAAGCACACCTAAAAAAGGTAACAGGGGCATTTCATGGGGCCCCCTACTGACCTCGGGCAGTGCCCGAGTGTTTGAATGGTCAGTCCGCCCCTGCCTCCTACCATGAAAAACAAAATCACGTATATATATATATATATATATACAATTTTGTGCATCCCTGCCGCCCTGTAGCAGTACTTCTGCTATAGGGCGGTCGGGAAGCAGTTAAATACAGTTAAAAAAAAAAAAAGGTTAACAATCACCTGATACCAGGCGGATGCAATGCAGTCACAGCAGCCCACACATAACCAACAAAATGGCTAAGCCTCAGCACCAATGGTACAGCCATCTTGAAAAACAGCGTGATGTGACTGTCTAAATTGACCAGGAGGGACACACATCTGCTCAAAACATCTAACGCTACTGTCTCCAGACAATGCTGCTGTCCAAGGGTGTCTCCATTGCGTCCTCCACCACCCAAAAATATACTACAAGGAAATATGTTATTAGTCAGATCACCAGGTGAAAATAAAGGAAAAAAGCCTAAAAAACAGACACTAAAACAGCCAGCACAACTAAGGATTGGTAATCTACAATATATTACATTTCTGTTTTTGGATTTAGATACGTTTTCAAAGCACACATTGCATTTCATTTCCTGTGTGTTTAAGTTAGACAATATATATTCATTTTGATATTTAATAGGGTAACTTAGTGGAATTTTTCAAATGGATCCAGTTTTCTCATCCTACCTGTGGGTCAACAACTGGAATTTCATAGGATCCCCACCATTCCCTAGAAATCTTTGCTGAAGGATCGCAGTAACTGATGAAATTGGAGTTCCATCCAACTCCATACTCAGCACAATAGACATGGCACGCTGCATCATGAACAATACCCTGCACAGTGGCACAGCAGAAGACTTCAGCTGGTACAGGGGTCAGCACATGACAAATATATCCAAATACGGAAACCTTTAGCCCCCGTTCACATTAAAGCGTGTACTTCTGCAGCATTTTTTTGTTTGCATTTTTTTGAAGGAGAGCACACATTTTTTAAACATTTTCCATTTGTTTTAAAGCTTCCACCATTTTTGTCCCGGTCATTTGAAAGTAATATTATCGGAGACATGATATGTTGTCACCAGTCTTGTGTCTGCTTTCTCATTCCTCTGTGCAATGTCCTGTGCTATTGAAGCTTGTAAGCCATGTCTACCATGCCAAATTCTTCCCAGGCCTTCCGACATTTGCCACAGTAATGGGTATCCCTGGCTTGTAGAGGCTCTTGTAGGTCATCACCAGGCATGAAACTCTCTACATTCAGCATGAACACAGGCCTGAGGTTACTAGGAGGAGACCAGTTGATAGGTGCAAAAATGCATGAAAAAAAAAAAAAAATATATATATATATATATATATACATATTCCCAGATTGTAAGCTCCAAGGAGCAGGGCCCTCCTGTCCCTCTTGTATTAAACTGTATTGTTGCTGTATTGTCTCCCATTATATTGTAAAGCGCTGAGCAAACTGGTAGTGCTATATAAATCCTGTATAATATTAATAATATATTTTCATATTGGATTGTAACAAGGGAACCCACTTAAAGTTTACTAAACCCACAACAGTAAAATCAGTTTATATATGCAGTAAAGCATGCTTGTTATACTCACTGTGGAACCTAAGGGGTTAATGCTCTGCATTGTGTAAAAAGGATATTTGATCCTGTCTTCTCTGATCCTTTCCTTCTTTTACTGTCCCCAATCCATCTGCTGATAGAACAGAGCCATGGGGTCAAGCTGCACATGTTCGGTTTGGTGCATATTGCTAGTTTTTTTTTTTTCTTGGTAGAGTGCATGTGATCAGTACAGGGTCAATCAGCACTATCCAGAGGGTCGGGGGGTTATGCAGCCTCATAGGACAATCCGGGGAGAATGAAAACTCCTCCTTCAAGCATTAACCATCGCTCAGCAAGACACTGATAGAAGTCATAGAAATCACAAGACTGCTGTAACTGCCGATGAGAAAAGGTATTTAGCAGTTTATATTTACTAAAATACTTGCATTTCCATGTTGTGTGTACTGTGGGAGAGCAGATATAGTGAATGCAGGCTCATGGGTTTAGTAACACTTTAATCTGAAATTCTTTATCCACATAATTATTTTTCTTTTATTACTTATTACACGGTTATATATATCAATAATTTGCGCAGCAGCAGCACTTTACATAGTAATAAAAGCTTAATAGACATAATTAGAATTTAAAATTAGTATAATGAACAAAAAAAAGGTCAGCACCAATGCCTACATTGCCTAACATGATTAGTGGAAATTTAATTACATTGCATTGTGGATCCTTAATTTATTATATAAACAGGAAAGGTTAGTATATTATATAAGCAGCTGGGTGTGTTAAAATGGAAAGTACCATACACACCCACGACAAACATCCGTTGGCATCCAAACTATACATGTGCAAATCCAGTGTTCCTGTACATAGTGCAAAAATACATAATTTCCTAGTCGCACAAAACTAAAAACAGTTTGACACAATAAGTGTGGAAATGGCCAGAGTTATAACATGATCATCTCCCAATCTTGCTGATTTGTGAATGACCCTTCATGGTCAGCAGCAGACACCTTCTCCTGTAATCTGTAGAGATCAAAAAGAGCAAACGTAGTTATTAAAAAAGTATATCATTACCACTAGCGTTCATTTTCCTGTAGTGTTTCTAAAACTCAGCAAATGATTCTTTCACAAACAGGATTTACAATGCTGGAGGCTGTGTACACAATAATGTCTGCAGGCTTATTCAGTAAAACAAATAGAAATACGTAGGTACAGTCAGGTCCATAAATATTGGGACATCGACACAATTCTAATATTTTTGGCTCTATACACCACCACAATGGATTTGAAATGAAACGAACAAGATGTGCTTTAACTGCAGACTGTCAGCTTTAATATTAGGGTATTTACATCCAAATCAGGTGAACGGTGTAGGAATTACAACAGTTTGCATATGTGCCTCCCAGTTGTCAAGGGACCAAAAGTAATGGGACAATTGGCTTCTCAGCTGTTCCATGGCCAGGTGTGTGTTATTCCCTCATTATCCCAATTACAATGAGCAGATAAAAGGTCCAGAGTTCATTTCAAGTGTGCTATTTGCATTTGGAATCAGTTGCTGTCAACTCTCAAGATGAGATCCAAAGAGCTGTCACTATCAGTGAAGCAAGCCATCATTAGGCTGAAAAAACAAAACAAACCCATCAGAGAGATAGCAAAAACATTAGGCGTGGCCAAAACAACTGTTTGGAACATTCTTAAAAAGAAGGAACACACCGGTGAGCTCAGCAACACCAAAAGACCCGGAAGACCACGGAAAAGAACTGTGGTGGATGACCGAAGAATTCTTTCCCTGGTGAAGAAAACACCCTTCACAACAGTTGGCCAGATCAAGAACACTCTCCAGGAGGTAGGTGTATGTGTGTCAAAGTCAACAATCAAGAGAAGACTTCACCAGAGTGAATACAGAGGGTTCACCACAAGATGTAAACCATTGGTGAGCCTCAAAAACAGGAAGGCCAGATTAGAGTTTGCCAAACGACATCTAAAAAAAGCCTTCACAGTTCTGGAACAACATCCTATGGACAGATGAGACCAAGATCAACTTGTACCAGAGTGATGGGAAGAGAAGAGTATGGAGAAGGAAAGGAACTGCTCATGATCCTAAGCATACCACCTCATCAGTGAAGCATGGTGGTGGTAGTGTCATGGCGTGGGCATGTATGGCTGCCAATGGAACTGGTTCTCTTGTATTTATTGATGATGTGACTGCTGACAAAAGCAGCAGGATGAATTCTGAAGTGTTTCGGAAATATTATCTGCTCATATTCAGCCAAATGCTTCAGAACTCATTGGACGCTTCACAGAGCAGATGGACAATGACCCAAAGCATACTGCAAAAGCAACCAAAGAGTTTAAGGGAAAGAAGTGGAATGTTATGCAATGGCCAAGTCAATCACCTGACCTGAATCCGATTGAGCATGCATTTCACTTGCTGAAGACAAAACTGAAGGGTAAATGTCCCAAGAACAAGCAGGAACTGAAGACAGTTGCAGCAGAGGCCTGGCAGAGCATCACCAGGGATGAAACCCAGCGTCTGGTGATGTCTATGCATTCCAGTCTTTAAGCTGTAATTGACTGCAAAGGATTTGCAACCAAGTATTAAAAATTGAAAGTTTGATTTATGATTATTATTCTGTCCCATTACTTTTGGTCCCTTAACAAGTGGGAGGCACATGTGCAAACTGTTGTAATTCCTACACTGTTCACCTGATTTGGATGTAAATACCCTCAAATTAAAGCTGACAGTCTGCAGCTAAAGCACATCTTGTTTGTTTCATTTCAAATCTATTGTGGTGGTGTATAGAGCCAAAAATGTTAGAAGTGTGTCGATGTCCCAATATTTATGGACCGTGCTCGCGTGTAGTGGTGACTGCATATGTAGGCCATGCCCACATATGTAAACCGTGTTCAAACCACACGTGAGGTATCTCCACGAATATCAGAGCAAGAGCAATAATTCTAGCACTAGACCTCCGCTGTAACTTTCCGGTAGTTTCCAATTTTTAAATAGTCACCCATGGAGATTTTTTTAAGTACCGTAGTTTGACGCCATTCCACGAGCGTGCACAATTTTAAAGCATGACATGTTTGGTATCTATTTACTCGGCCTAACATCATCTTTCATATTTTACAAAAAAAATTTGGTATATATTGTGTTTTTTTTAAATTATTAAAGTGTATTTTTTTCCAAAAAAAAGTTAGAAAAATATATTAATTTTTAAAAATGTCCATTTCAGTTTTCGGCCAAGTGTATCCTGAATTTTCAGTTTCGGCACCAGAATTTTCATTTCGGTGCACCACTACCATTCTGCATGCTGTACACGGCTTTGCACCCCTGTAATTGAGCAATAATGCCTTCATAGCATAAACCTGCAAGTATGCTAACCCCAAGCGGGCCCATCACACATTTTTAAAGTGGAGTCGTTTTATTTTGTGTTACAGCACCAAATAAAATAGTTACCTGTAATAAAGTGTATCCTTTGTCCTGCAGGCTGCTGCTTCATGCCAAGATCCTTCCTACATGCTGCTGAATACTGTCCACAATGGCAGGGCTGCAGATAAAAAATTTTTTCGGGGGGGAAGGGGGGGGGGGGGGGGGGGGTTCAGCTCTCAGTTGAGCTGCATTTTTACAGCTCCCCCACCAACTTCTCCCCCTTGAAGAAAGGAAGGGAGGGGTGGGTGGAAGGAAGGGAGAAAGGGAAGGGAGGGGTGGAAGGAAGGAAGGTAGGGGGGGAGGGGGTGAAAGGAAGGGGGGAGGGAAGGGTGAAAGGAAGGAAGGTAGGGAGGGAAGGGTGAAAGGAAGGAAGGTAGGGATGTAGGGGGAAGGGTGAAAGGAAGGAAGGTAGGGAGGGAAGGGTGAAAGGAAGGGTGGTGGAAGGGAGGGAGGAGAAGGAAGGGTTGGGTGGAAGGAAAGGGTTGGAGGGAAGGTGGAGGGACAGAAGGGGTGGGGTGGACAGGGAAAAAGGAGGGAAGGAAGGGAAGGGAGGGTTGGATGGAAGGAAGGGAGGGGTGGGTGGGACAGAAAAAAAGGGAGGGGAAGGAAGGGAGGGTTGGATGGAAGGGGGAAGGAAGGAAGGGAGGGAAGGAAGGGAGGGTTGGGTGGAAGGAGGGGAGTGGAAGGAAGGGAAGGAAGGGAGGGAGGAAGGGAGGGTGGGTGGACGGAAGAAAGGGAGGGGTGGACGGAAGAAAGGGAGGGGTTGGGTGGAAGGGTGGGGGAAAGGAGGGAGGGGAAGGAAGGGGGGGAGGTTGGGAGGGGGATGGAGGGTGGGGAAGGAAAGGAGGGAGGGGAGGGAGGGTTGGGTGGAAGGAGGGAGGGAGAGGGAGGGAGGGGTTGGGTGGAAGGAAGGGAGGGAGGGACGGGAAGGAGGGGAGGGGGGAGGGTGGAAGGAGGGGAGGGAGGGGGGGAGGGTGGAAGGAAGGGAAGGGAGGGGAGGGTGGAAGGAAGGAGGGAGGGAGGGGAGGGGTGGAAGGGAAGGAAGGGAGGGTGGGTGGAAAATGCACAATTTTAAATTGCATCCAGTGTGAACCAAGCCTAAGAGGGAAGGGAGGGTCACACTGCCGCGATTTCAGGTGCGATTTGGGAATTGAAATCAGAGGGAGGGAGGGAGGGGAAGGAAGGGACGGGAGGGAGGGTAGGGGAGGGTGGAGGGAGGGAGGGGGAAGGGAGGGAGGGGGGAGGGAGGGGGAGGGGAGGGAGGGATGGTGGAAGGAAAAGAGGGGTGGGTGGGTGGAAAAGCACAATTTTAAAATTGCATTCCAGTGTGAAACCAAGCCTGAAATCGTACTTTGTGCGATTTGGGGTATTGGGATGTCTGAAATGGAATGTGAGTGTCTTAACATACGCGATTTGCTGCAGTGCGATTTCAAAAGTAGTTCTTGTATTACTTTTTCTGCAGTTTGTAGCAATTTCACATAAAACTACAATATCACAACAATCGCACTGCAAAATGCAATGGTAACCGCAAGAAATCATTGGGAAATCTTCAGAAAACAGCAAAACAAAACTTGCGATTTGAAATTGCGTGTCTTGTTTGTGATTTCATCGCGTTTTCTGAAGATTTCCCACTGATTTCTTGCTTTTTCCAGTGCGATTTCTATTGTAGTCTATTTGTGAAATCGCAACAAACTGCAGAAAAAAGTAATAGAAGAACTACTTTTGAAATTGCGCTGGAAAACTCAAGAAATCAGTGGGAAATCTTCAGAAAATGCAGTGAAATCGCAAACAAGACACGCAATTTCAAGTCGCATGTTTTGTTTGCTGTTTTCTGAAGATTTCCTAATGATTTCTTGTGTTTTCCATTGCATTTTGCAGTGCGATTTTTTTTATTGTAGTTTATGTGAAATTGCTACAAACTGCAGAAAAAGTAATACAAGAACTACTTTTGAAATCGCACTGCAGCAAATCTCGTATGTTAAGACACTCACATGCATTAAATCTGATTTCAATTCCCAAATTGCACCTTAAATCGTGGCAGTGCGAACCAGGGCTTACACCCCGGTCACATCAAGCCCAATTTTAAAGTCGCACAATTTCAAAGTTGGGGGATGTGCTGATTTCAAGTGCGACTTGCAAGACATCTGACGCAGATGTCTATGCAACTCGCACGAAAAGTAGTGCATGTACTACTTTAGAATTCGAAGCAGCTCCGACCAAGTCGGAATCGAAGCGATTTGACCGCTGTAATGTGGACAATAGGGTGCGACTTGGTTTACAATTTGCAAGTCGCATGGCTTGCAAATCGCAGCCGATGTGACCAGGGGTTTACACAGATGTCTATGAAAATCGCACAAAAAAGTAGTGCATGCACTTTAGAAATCATCACGGCTCCGACCAAGGCGAAACTGCATCGATATGAGGCAGTGTAACTGTGGACAATAGGGTGCGACTTGCCATGCGAATTGCAAATCGCATGCCAAGTCGCACCCAGAGTGACCAGGGACTTGGACACTGAATGTAACTTTTAAATCGAGCTACTTCACTCGAAATAGTGCGATTTCAAAGTTGCAAATCACTGCAATTTATTCCTCTGATTTCACTGCGGCTTTTAACTTCATAAAAACTTGTGCAAAAACAGAAAAAAAAAAAGTCCCTGGTAGACAAGTGGTTAAACATGAAGAATAAACTGTCAGATCTACAAGTACTTATTACTAAACAAAGTCAACGCTGGTATAAAGCCTATGAAACCATAAGAAGGAACGTCCGGCATCGGCTACTCTGTCCACGTGCTCTTTGAGCGACTGTTCGGGGAAGGAGGAGAAGAGCACAAAATGCAGCCAGAACCTCTTCTTGTAATGTTCTATGGCGGCTGCAAACCAGCATTTACCGCCACCCACTGGACGGAGATATGAATCATTTTCTCTCACCCCCTACCAAAGAGCTTAGGGCAGACTTCCCTAATTAAAGATGGCAGACGTGCGACCCGTCCCCTAGTGAACGGTAGCGTTCCCATGGTAACTGGAGACAACAGATATGGCTGAAGAGAGAGAGGCTGCTGGTGAGTGAAACTAGAATGTATAAAAGAAGAAGCTGGCAGATACACCTGAAAATCAGATTACAATGTAAAGTTATTGGACTGACATTGAAATGAACATTGAATGAAAATGAACATTTGTAAGTTCAGAGAGACGATAGCTGAGGGGCTTTTCCAATCTTTACTTTGCTGCTTGATTTAACCACTAGACGTCAGTTCTAAGTCTAGGTTCACACACAAGCGTTTTCCGCTGCGTTTTGCAGAAATAAACTGCAGTCCATTTAACATGATTTCCTATGGGGCAGGTTCACATCTCCGTGTTTTCACCCAGTGCGTTTTTTGGAAAGGGTCAGGGACTTTTTTTAACGCAAAAAATTGTGTTTTTGGTTCTATAGACTTCAATGGAAACGCTGCAGAAATGCATGTAGTGCGTTTTTGATGCATATTGCGTTTTAACCACTTCAAGTCTGGATACTTTTACCCCCTTCCTGTCAAGGCCAATTTTCAGCTTTCAGTGCTATCACACTTTGACAATTGCGCGGTCAGGCAACACTGTACCCATATGAATTTTTTAGCATTTTTTTTGAGACAGATAAAACTTTATTTTTGTGGTATTTATTCACCACTGGGATTTTTATTTTTTTGCTATATAAATGAAAAAGTCCAAAAATTTTGACAAAAAGTGTTGTTCTTATAGAATTTTGCAAATAAATGATCTTTCTGCATAAATCTTGGCCAAAATCTATTCGGTTATCTAGTTAAAAAAAATAAAAATAACCCAAATTAGTTTATAGCCAAAAATTATAATCTTTCAGATTTTTTTTACATTTTTATTTTTTGTTTATATTATTTGTTTTTTTTTTTTTACATACTGTCACCCTAGCAGTACAGTGTCACCATAGTGACACTGTACTACTTGTGGGGGGTGATGATTTTTTTTTTTTTTACACTGATTGCTTTTACACCCGTAAAGGCTGTAAAAGCAATAATTTCTCCTCTCTGGCTGCATTTTTGCAGCCATTGAGAAATACTGTGTGAGCTGTGATTGGTCACAGCTTGTCACATGGTACAAGGCTGTTGTGAATAGCTTTGTACCATCTGACCTCTGTGATCATTCACAGATTTCACTTGTAGTAAGCAATGATGTTAGGAAGTGACATCTTGCCTACTACTATTCATGTGATCACCGATTGGCTAATCAGTGATAACATGATCGGGGCCCTCACACAGAGGTCCCGTACAGTGATCGGTGTTCCGCTGTGTGCACCGGATCGCAGTGCAGTGCTCTCCCAGGGAGTCCGCACAGCCAGGAAAAGTGGGCGCCACTTATGAATGGCAACCCGCTCCTGCACTGCTCCCGTCCAGCCTACGTACATAAACGGCTGGAAGGGAGCGGCACCTGCTTTTTCTGGCTGTGTGCGCTCCCTGGGAGCACGCAGCACCTCGATCCGGTGCACAGAGCTGAACACTGAAGTGATTAAATCTGCCTAGCTACAAGAAAACTTAAAAAAAATTGAAAAAAAAATACACAAAACGCATCAAAAACGCAGGTGCAAGAACGCAAAACGCAATGCAGAAACAGCTAAAACGCGAAATGTTGCATTTTTGGTTTTATAGACTTCAATGGAAACCCCATAGAAAATCATGTCGTGCGTTTTTGATGCGTTTTAATCTGCCTAGCAACAAGAAAAAGCGCAAAATGCATCAAAAGCACATGTGCAAAATGCAACACAAAACACACTGCAGAAATGGATCAAATGCAAAATGCATAAGTGTGAACCTAGCCTAAAACACAGGTTGGAGTTCTGTTTGTTATACAAAGTTGTTGTCATGTAGGCCCATCCACACAGATGTCATGAACTATACTGATCATCTACGGGAAAAGGGTGCTGGGAAATGTTTGCAGAAACCCCCGTGTGAATTGGTCAGTATAGTGCATGCATTTTTATGCCATATTTGGCACCTTTTGGGGGGGGGGGGGGGGGGAGTAGTGGATACATGTTTTTGACAGGTATCAGCTCCCACCTCCAGCTCAGTTCGCCATAGAAGTTCGGCCTCCTCCTGCCTCCCACAATCTCCTGTGAACTTTCATAGGTCCCAGGAGACTGACAAACAAATTAGGAGGTGCAGCACAACTTGCGCATGTGCAGTGGGCACCAGACTGTGAAGCCGCAAGCTTTTACTTTTTGCTATAAAGCATCCAGTAAAAATTAATAAAAAAACAATTTCTTAATAAATTTAGGCCAAAATGTATTCTGCTAATGTCTGAGCTAAAAAATCCCAAAACGTAAATTAATTGGTTTACGTAAAAGTTATAGCATTTAGAAATGGCTGGGTATATATACAGTACTCAGCGAATTATAATGGGGACTGCGGCGGGCATTTCTGACACTGGGTGGGAACTGACTAACTGCCACTGACATCCCCAGTGACACTAACACAGTGATCAGTGCTAGTAAAAAGCACTGACACTGTACTAATGACACTGGGCAGGAAGAGGTTAACATCTGGGGTGATCAAAGTGTTAAATGTGCGCTGTTTTACATTATGTGCTGTGTGTATTTTACTAGGGTTACTTGCTGCTGTGTATTTCTCTGCTCTGCAGAGAAATACACAGCAGCATGTCCTTGCTGGCAGGAGAGAGACCTGTGTTGTTGGTGCTTGACATCCCTAGCCGCCAATGGCGGCATGGGTAGGGTGGCGCACGCGCGCTCCCTACCCGGTAATGCAAATCACGTATATATACATGATTTTGCGCAGCCCTGCTGCCCTGTAGCAGTAGTTCTACTATAGGGTGGAGGTAAAGCGGTTAGGGAGCGAGCGGCTACCGGTGTCTGTAAGTGTTACTAAACCCACAACAGTAAAATCAGTCTGTATATGCAGTAAAGCATGCTTGTTATACTCACTGTGAAACTAAGGGGTTAATCCTCTGCATTGTGTTAAAAAGGCTGTTTCAACCTTTCTTCTCTGCCCCTCCTCTTGCTGAAATGACCACCTGATACAGACTGAATCCGTTGTCATATGCACATGCTCAGTTTGGTGTGTATTGCTAGAGATGTTTTTTTTTTTCGTTTCCTGGGAGAGTACATGTGATCAGCACAGAGCCAATTAGCACTGTCCAACAGAGGGTCGGGACTTTCACATCCTCCCTAGAGCAGAAAGAAAACTCCTCTTACAAGCTGTACCCAGTGCTCTGCTGAGTCACAAGAGACTGCTCTAACTGCTGATGAGAAAAGGTATTTTGCAGTTTATAGTTACTAAATAATTGCATTTTCATGTTCTGTGTACTGTGGGAGACCAGATATAGTGAATGCAGGGGTCCTGGTTTAGTAACACTTTAAGAAAGCTAAAGCCACACAAAGCACAAAATGCATAAAAAATGCAAAAAATACATAAAAAATGAGTGTGAAAAAAAATGCAAAATGCACCCTGAAAATGCATCGATTGCAAGGTGGAAATGTCTTAAACAAGGGCTTTCTGTCAAGGAAATGGAAAATTGTATCAAATACTTACTGTAATTTTCCTTTCCTGGCACCATCTATGGCAGCATATACCACATGTATGCTGCCATGTTGGCACCAGGAAAGAGGTTAATGCGGAACTAAACCCTCCCAGGAAGCTGCCATTTTAGCCTCTGTTTGATCTGTAGTTGCCATGGTGCTCATTGCACATGTGATTAGTTATGACACCAGCCATTTAATGACCTGACAGTTTTGTTGAAAGCACAGGCAACTGTGACAGTACTATGTGCGGGGTGAGTTGTAGTTAAAATTAAAACTTTAGTTAACCATTATTTTTTTATTAATTCCATCATCCTTCTTCCTTTTATATTTTTTTTACCATTTGTAAATCTTTAAAATGTGTTTTTTTTCCATGTTGGAGTGCCAAATTACAAAACTAATCGTGTGTGGCACATTGTGGCATCCCCCACCTTGGGTGCTGGAGGACATTGTCCTGGCAATGCATGCATGTGTGTCAGTCTGCCCTCGAAGGACTAATGATCTCCTAGTATAAACCTGCAAGTGTGTTAAGCGTAAACTATCCACTGGGGCCATCACACATTGATAGTGTAGTAGCAATTTTGGCAAACCAGAGAACCTCCGGACATGGACTTGAGGAATACAAATGATTTATTAAAAACAGTGCTGTTTGACTCAACAGATTGGCTTATGCTCTCATCTGCTAAGTGAGTTATAGAAAACGTCTTACAAGCGTATATACCAATGATTACGTCACAAGGCATACATTTCTTCTTTCACTTTCTATTACTTTCGACAGGCTTTCTAAACTCTGCAGTATAACTTTGGACAGCAGCTGCAGATAAGAATACCAGCTACGAACGGTACAACATAATACTCACAGGAAATAATGGGGGGGAGGGGAGGGGGGTGAAGATGAGCCAAAAACCTTGCTTTTAAAAACACAGGGCTGCTAGAAGTGTTAGAGTTTAAAGGGGAAACTATTCCATATCTGGGTGCTACCACAAAAGAGCTGGACTCCAATCTTACTTTAAAGCGGTAGTAACCTCTGCTTTTTCACTTGTACCTATAGGTTAAACTTGCAGAGTTTAACCTCAGTTTACACAAGAACTCACTGCAGTAAATCTGCGTTACCCACACTGCATTCAAATCTCATTGCCCTTGCGATCTGCAGTGGGTGTCAGTGCAATGTTACCTACACCTAATCGCAGGGTGCGAACGCAGTGTGTTGCTTGCACCGGATCACCTGGTGCAAAATGCCTATGCAATCAAGTTGCAGTGCATTTCTAAAATTGATATATGCACTAGTTTGGTGCGTTGTGGTGCGATCTTAGCCCATTCAAAATAAATAGATGTATCTAGCAGGAAGTTGTAAATTAATTTTTTTACCTGGAGTCTTTGGAGTGATTCTAATGCCTCAAGGTTTCTTACCTTTACCGCTTCCCAACCGCTCCGCCCACAATCTACTGCGCAGGGCAGCAGCTACAGGCAAAGCGACATACCTGTATGTCGCTCTAGCTGTACTAACACAGGGGGGCCACGTGTTTTTGGAAAACGAAGAAAGAAAACAAAAAATTTCTTTTTCTTTTTTCTTTTTCAAGTCCCTGTGACAAAAATGAAATCTGTAAAATACTCACCATGCCTCTTATTAATTCCTTGGGGTGTCTACTTTCCAAAAAGAGGTCATTGTACTATCCTGGCATTTTAGAGACTCCGTAACTGTGATAGGTAGTATGAAAGTGATATGCCCTTTGAAAGCCTGGAGGTGGTCATTGGATTTTGAGGGCATGTATGTAGCTAGGCTGCCAAAAAAGTCTCTTACATGTAGTATCCCCATACTTAGAAGAAGTAGGAGAATGTGTTTTGGGGGTGTAATTCCACATATATCCATGGCATGCATTAAAGTTATCATTAAAGTGACAACTTTGTGTTAAAAAAAATGTCATATTCAAAAATTGTGTTGCAAAAAATAAAATGTTCCATGGACTCAACATGCCTGTCTGCAAAATCCTTTGGATGTCTACTTTCCAAAAAGGAGTCATGGGGGGGGGGGGGGAGGTTGTACAGCCCTAGCAATTTAGCACCTCAAGAAATGTGATAGGCAGTCAGAAAGTAAAAGCTACGTAAATTCCAATATATATACCATAGTTTGTAGACGCTATAACTTTCACACAAACCAATTAATATACATGTATTGAGATTTTTTTTAGCAAAGACATGTAGCAGAATACATTTTAGCCTAATTGTATGACTAACTTTGAGTTTATTGGATATTTTTTATGAACAAAAGTGAAAAATATGTTTTTGTTTCTAAAAATTTTTGGTCTTTTTTTGTTTATAGCGCAAAAAATAAAAACTGCAGAGGTGATCAAATACTGCCAAAAGAAAGCTCCATTTGTGTGAAAAAACAACATAAAATTTTGTTTGGGTACAGCATTAAACGATCCGCACAATTACCAGTTGAAATAGCACAGTGCTGAACAGCAAAAAATGGCCTGGTCAGGAAGGGGGGTAAATCCTCTGGAGGGCAAATGGTTAAAGGATAAGTTCACCTTTGTTTACTTTTTTTTCTCTAAACTCCAGCTCCCCTATGTACCAATATAGCATTAATCTATTTGGTTTGTAAAAAAAAAATTCAAAAGCTATCCATTTTTTCTGCCACCTTTATGTCAGTGTCCAGATGGCTGTCCAAAAAGCTTATCCATTACTTCTGCCTTATTTCCTGCAGAGCCTTTAGGTCATGACACAGGAAGGAGTTGACCAGCTGACCTCACTAGCACACACCCTGCATCATCTTACTGTCCTACCTCCCACCCACTTCCAGGCGCACGAATATTTATCACGTACCTGGTGATGGAGGCCAATGGAGAGAGGGCTTCCCTTGCGGCTAAGTTCCAGACTCTCCTCTGAGAGTGGGACAGCGGGATTCAGGCCCAAAGTGGCACAGGTCGCCTGTAGGAGTACTGGTTGGTGGTTCACCCAGAAGCACAGCTGATGTACGGAGATAGGTCTGCAGACAGGTGGCGCTGTGCGAGGTATGTAAGCCCTTCCGGGATTTAGAGATTTATGAATAGCCGGTTTCAAGCCAAGGTCAGGTACCAGGTGGGAATCAGAGCAGACGTAGTCAGATGGGATAGCCTGAGGTCATACACAGAGGAGCGAGAGAGAGAGAGAGAGTATCCTTTAGCCAAGCCAAGGTCATACACAGAGGAGCGAGAGAGAGAGTATCCTTTAGCCAAGCCGAGGTCAGACCAGGGGTTAAGTAGAGTAGACAGGTCCAAGAGCAAGCTGTGTCAGTATCAGGAAGTCACAGGTTACAGGAAACAGGAAAGAGGAACAAGGCACGGGGAGCTAGAGATCATCCAGCAACTTGAGGAAATGATGAGCCTCTTTATAAAGGCCATCTGGCACCAAACTGAGGCTGATATGTGCTTCTGCGGCCATGCAGGGTACTGGCAGAAATGCCAGATCTTCCAGAACTTCTGTCGTGGGGACAGGACCCTGACAATATTAAATGAAAAGCAATCAATCAGTGATCACTGTTCTCACTAATACACAGACATTGATTTTTATTTTTTCTACCATAACTTTCATCCTACATAGATCATTCATTTGGCATAGTGTGCAGAGTGAACAGATTGCAACGTATGTGGACAGAGCTCTAATATTGGAAACAGGTGAATTGTGTTCTGGATTTTGTAAAGTTCACATACACTATACCAGGGGTCTCCAGGCTTTCCAAACAAAGGGCCAGTTTACTGTCCTTCAGACTTTACAAGGGCCAGACTGTGGCCCAGTGGCAGTAGAAAAGGTCCTGACGTAATGCCTCATTGCTTGGTGTTAGTGGGAGGAATTGTGCCCCATCATTGATGTTATCGGACCCTATCAATTGTGTCACTGGAAGGAATTGTGCCCCATCGTTGGTGTCATTGGAAGGAGTACCCCCTTCATTGGTGTAAGTGGGGGGAATTATACACAATTGTTGGTATCAGTAGATGTTATAGTGCCCCAAGAGCCAGATAAAAGCAAGCAAAGGGCCGCAGTTTGGAGACCACTGCACTATACTATGGTTAGGACCCATATGTAGAGTTCCCCTTTAAACTCTAACACTTCTAGCAGCCTGTGTTTGTTGAAGCAAGGTTTTTGGCTCATCTTCCCCCCTCCCTTATTTCCTGTGTATGGGTCTGCAGCAGGGGCGGACTGACCATTTGGAAACTTGGGCACTGCCCGAGGGCCCGGGGTCAGTAGGGGGCCCCATGAGATGCCCCTGGTACCTTTTTCATAGGCTTTTTTGAGTTTGGGCAAGGACACAGGGGCCCCATGATCCCCTATTGCCTGGGGGCCCATGATTTGTCAGTCTGCCCCTGGTCTGCAGCTGGTATTTCTTATCTCCTGCTGCTGGCCAAGGTTATTCTGCAGAGTTTTTGGAAGCCCCCTGAAGTGTATAGAAAGTAGGAAAGGAATGTATGCCTTGTGACGTAATTCGGTTGGGTATTATACAGTAAGCTTGTAAGAAGTTTTCTATAACCCACTTAGCAGAATGAGGGCACAAGCCGTTCTGTTGAGTTTTAAAACAAGCTCTGTTTTTAATAAATTAGTTGTTTCCTTCAGAAGTCTGAGTCCGGGAGTTTTATCTGATTTTGACGGATAATTGCTATACTACAATA